AGTCGTCCACCAGAGCTGCAAAGTATAAGGCACTAACTTTGACTCTAGTGTTGTCGCCGTCAGCGTCGCCCGGCTCATCCAGAATTTGGAAGTGAACGCGCAATATCTGAATTTTGGCAACGATGTAACTTGTGAGTGGAAGAGAACCTAAGTTTTTGAAGATTGTATTGACATAGGACTCAGACTACACAACGGCCGTCTTCTTCTGGACCAACATCGAACTGTCCATTGCTGTGATTGCTGCCTGTCTCCCGACTTTGAAACCGATCTTGTCGCATTTCTTCCCCAAGACACCTACGACGACCAAATCAGCTCAGTCGACGCCCAGCCACTACATACAAATCAGCGAATCCCGACAGGTTACGCACAAATCGCGTCAATCCCATATGTCCGACAACTATCCTGCCTACTCTGCAAATGCATATGCAGGGGATCGCGACAAGAATCACATTGAGCTGCACTCGTTTGAGCCGGTGTGAAACGGGCAGGTGCATCTTGTTGAAGACCCATGTTCACTATTATGACTTTCTAGAGGCGACGATTTGTAACATACCATACCAAACCTTTATTCGCCCTATATTCTCGATACCGTAACCTGTACCAAGCGACATGTTTACTACCCATGATAATGCATATACTGAAGTCTAGAGAGACGAGGGTGGCGGTTTGACGAAGCGAGCATGAGTATGAGGTGTTTTCAAGCCCCGGGGAACGTGGAATGAAACATGAGATATCGTTATTAATATTCAAAGGATACGACTTAATGACAACAGTGGACAATTACTACAACTCTTTGCAGAGTGACCAATGAGACGTATGATCAAAGAACGAGGGTTGTAGTAGAGACTTGGGTCCCTTGCGATTCTGGTCCCTGTTTTCAGCCTGTTGAATAGCACAGACCGGCCTGGCCCGACGATGACACGCGTGCAGCGGAGATGGAAGATAGATTGGTGAAAGTCTACAGTGAAACCCTGTCGTCGCAGATGCGGGCAAAAGCTGCAATCTGGAGATGATACATGTCTATATCCACAAGACCAGGTATACAACCCCTCCTCACCCGTAGTCCAAGGCAAGCAAGAACAGCCACGAGTAACCGACACAGGTCGAATGCTCTGCTCTGCTCCGCTGGAGCTATTGTTATTACCGCACAGGTCTACTGTATGAAGACACCTGATAATGCATGTATGTGACGGAGTAAACCGATGCTATCCTACTGGTCTGACTTGCTTATTTTTGCCTACTGCTCGAGTTGCTGCATACTAGGCTCTAGCTCTCGCATTAGAGGGATTTGAATTTACGGAATACTGTTGTCATAAACACCGACAGACACTGGAGATCACTGCAGTGTCGAAACTGTACTAGTAGTTGCACCAAATGACTGGACTATTGGACTGTCGCCACCTACTATCGAAAATGGTCTTTTGACTGCATCAGCTCTTGTCAGCTATAAGCCACCAGGCTTGCGGCACGGTTGAAGCCGCGTGGTTCAATGCTTCAGGCAGCCTGTAGTCTGTGCGACACTTCATGGGACATGGAGCATGGGAAGTCGATTGTGCTCGTGTGGCATGGATCAAATCAGAGGCCTTGCTCGTAGCCGGACTCTGACCGGATTGGCCGGGATGGTAATCTAACACGTGGGCCGATTTGAGCTATTGCCAGCACGATCCGATTCCGAGGCATGATGTCCGAATCGGTTGCCCTTCTGCAGGGCTCGACTTGTCAACCGCGTGTGGCTGCGAGTGCAATGATCATGAGATCCCTTTCTTTGCGTCATTGTCCTTCAGCTCGTTCTTCTTACGGACGTTCTAGACTGACTACAATCGCTCATGGTAAGTCCATTGAGACGGGGGGTAACTCAATGCGTTTTACCCATGGTGATAGGCGCGTAGGTGTTATTGCTACGGCCGCGAAGCAAGACCAGAATATGGCAAGCGCATGGCAACGATATGGTTGTTTCTGGTCGCTCGTCCGTAATCATCAGCTCCAACGCTCCACATTGGCGAATCCCTGAATGTCTAGCTGGTCGGAGAGTCGGAGACTCTCACAGTGAGGAGGCGATATGGCCGAGATGGGTCAGTAAGGGAGATTATCTCAAGCTCGCCAAACCTCGCCAGATGCGCCCCAGACACCCCCCTGTAGTCTCCGCCACCCTAACATGGGCCATACAGTCATGAATAAATACTAGAACGTGGCAATGTTGTAGCGTGAGTAGAGAATTGCTTGGCTCTCTCTGGCTACACTATCACGTCTCGCTCGAGCTTCATCGCTATGAAATTCACAAGCCTGTTGGTTTGCGCCGTCGCGGGCCTCACCACCGTCTTCGCCGGCGAAAACTGTCCCCGAGATACCATATTCAGCAAGCTGCAGAGTGGATTGTCTCTTCTACTGTCGAGTAAAAACCTCATAACCTCGACTGCGCCGGCACGATGGAGTGACTTTGACGCCCCCCATCCGGGCGCTGTCATCAACGTCAGGAATGAGGCGGATGTTGTTGCTTCGGTACATTTTCCCCTTTGCGACTGTTGTCACGTCGTCGAACTCGAAAGAATGAAGACAGGACTGACATCACTACGCCATACTTAGGTCAAGTTTCTGACAGCTGCTAAAATCCCGTTTCTAGCACAGAATGGAGGAAATGGCTGGGCCACAACCTTCCATCTCGGCTCCAATGGAGTCATAATCAACCTAGCGGGCTTAAACCAGGTCACATTCGATTCTGCGAGGACTCAAGCCACGATCGGTGGAGGTGCCAACATAAAGACAACTATCGACGCCGCCTATGCTGCTGGAGCTTTGGTCGAGACTGGCAATTGTAACTGTGTCGGCACTCTTGGAGCCATTCTTGGTGCCGGCTACGGCAATCTGATGGGGGAGTACAGTTTCGGAGTAGACAATGTGCTATCGATTCGTGTCGTCACCCCCGACGGTCAGCTTCGCAACGTGACGGCGCAATCTGACCCAGATCTATTCTGGGCTCTTCGCGGCGCCGGCCCCAACTTTGGCATTGTCACATCAGCGACCGTGAAAGCACGCAAAGCCTCGGCTGTGGACAATCAAGCCTGGACAGGCTCCTTAATCTATACCGAAGACCAGCTCGAAGATGTCATCCAGGCCATTGAAGATCTTCCACTCACCCAAGAAATGGTCATCTTCCTATACTTCCTGGCAGACTCCACGACAGGCTCTCCGGTCATTGTTGCTTCGCCGTGGATGCACAGAGCGGATGAGACGAGTGGACCGGCCGCCTACGCCTCTCTCTATGCCATCGGTCCCGTGGCTACTGACACTGCTGTCGTAGAGTACAACCAGTGGAACTCTGGATCAGACGCGCTTTGCGACCGTGGCGAGTATAAGCCTGGCTGGGGTGCTGGCTTCCAGGACATGATCCCGGAGACGTGGCGCGCGATCTGGGATGCATATGTCGCATTCCAGCAACTCCCCGGTGCAGAGAGAAGTGGTGTGCTGATGGAGAAGTACAACCTCAGCGCGGCGAGATCATTCGCTCCTAGTTCGGCTGCTTTCCCCAACCGCAACGTCAATATCAACGCCTTTGCCATCCCATGGTACGACGATTCGTCTCTCGATGCCGAGGCCGCCAAATTCGGCAACAAGGTGCGCGACTTGTTACGCTCCACCAGTGGTCTGCCCAGAAACCAGACGTAAGCATCCATTCCTCACTTTGTGTCTTACCATTGCCTTTACGCAGACCGCTAATCACGGTGTTTGTTATAGCTATGTTAACTTCGCACACGGCGATGAGCCCCTTGCAGAGGTGTACGGCGACAGCTTAGCCAGATTGAAGACGCTCAAGAAGAAGTACGATCCTACAAACGTATTCAATCAGTGGTTTGACATCCAATAAAAAACAGCGCTCACAGGGAACGGGGCGCCGGCAACACAAGGACAGGGGTCTCATGGAAGTTGCATAGTTCCCACCCGGGGGGCTCTGTTACCACATACGAAATAGACTGGCGGCTGAGTAGACTATGATGATATTAAGATACCTACCTGTAATACCTGACAATAAACACTAATAATAAAATGGCATCATTCGGTTTACCTTACCCCACGATCGTGCGAGATGAGCCCTGGATGCGGCCGAACTATGAGCATGGGTGATGTCTTGTGAGCATGAAGAAGTACGCAGCGGCACGTTGCTGATATCACATGATGTTCGCCGTTGGGTTTCGACCGTGTCACTACCTGTAGTGCCACTATGTTCACAGTTCATCAGCCGACGAGACCAGACCGTGGTTTGTGTAGTCGTGTCTTGAAGCTCGGCGCCCGCCAGCCCTTGCAGGGGAACGTCAAAGCGCAACAGGGCGATTCATTGGCCAAGGAGAAAAATAGAGTTCGATCGGAGATCTCAACTCGAATTGTCTTATCAAGCGGGGACGGCGATCTCTGCTCCCTTACGTGCATCGCCAGCATTGTGAGACCGTACGTATCGCAGCATATCCCGATGCCTATGCAGGGTCTGTTCAACCCTCTTCTCTTCCCCGTCCCTTGCAAACCAAGCGAAAATAGGGGGGGGGCGAAGGAGGGGCGCATGGAAAACAGCGACGAGATGACGGCAATGCATTGCCAAACATCGCTGTATGATGAACTTCCTAGTTGCAGGTAGCATACCTGCATGTATATACATAGCATGTGTGTCGAGAATGCTGCATACTATTAGAATTGCATGCGGATCGTTGCGCCCATGAAGAGAGAAACTTAGAGGGAGTCGTCTCAGCGACATCCACATTGAGATCAACTAGGAGAAGCTCTCCTGCCAGGTGGGAATACGGGATGCAAGAACATTATGTACCAACCTACCTAAGTAGTATCTTAGTCTTTGGACAGCGAAGCTGGGAATAACCACTGGAGCGGCGCATTGAAATTTGCCAAAAAAACAGGCACAGACCATTAAAATGATAATAAAAACATGAGCATAAAACAACTTCATCTGTACAATAGGAGATTAGTGCAAAGTTAAGTGCACGACGTTGACCAAAATACGACACCTAAGAGATTCGAACTCTTGCTCCCGAAGGAACTGCCTGACTGTCCCTGAAATTATAGGGAGTTTATAGCAGGGCAGCGCGTTAACCACTCCGCCAAAGTGCCCTAGACCAGCGCGTTGCGCCGCCTGTGAGAGTTGGGGATCATGGAAACCAGCGGCACCCATATATCCAATTCATAGACTCTTCTCCTCTGACACTCCGAGTCCATGACCAGAGCTCGACTTGGACGTCCAAGATGACGCTTTGGCTCGACGAGTATTTTATACTGGCCGACATGTCTGCGGGTGGGTACCTACATGTAGGTAGGATGTACATACATGATCTCTTGCCAAGATGGCAGCTTCATAGGTAAGTATATGTATGTACCAACCTCGCTTTCGACTTACCTCTGAGGTGCAAAAGATGATCTCCCCCATATTTTCTCTCAATTTCCGGCGATGAGAGGAAAGCAATTGACCTCGTTGGATTGTATATACTCTGCAGATTCTGCGACGAGCATAAAGATATATTGCTGGGCAATTGGTGATTACTATCCGCCTGCACACTACTAAATACCTACCGTTTTCTTAATCGGGCTCCAAGAGCTGCCATGAAGCCCACCGGCTTAGCTCTGCTCCTCTCTTGCAGCTTGAGAGCCTTTGCATATAGCCCCCAGAGACCTCTGAGTACGATCACCGGCTCGATCGATCAAGGACATCATGGCGACCGGGCTCCAGCCTACCGAGGCAGCCTCCTAGCACTGCACAAATCCCTCGTCGAGATATCCTCCATCACGAGCAACGAAACCACCGTAGGCCATTGGCTCGCCGACTACCTTGAGGACCGGGGCTTCAGTACCTATCTTCAATACATCCCGTCCGCCGACGACGTAAACAAAGGCCCCAAGCCTCGATTCAACGTCATAGCCAAGCCCTGGCCGAAGCACCAGTCCTCGATCGAGTCTCCCAAGGTCATCGTATCCAGCCACATCGACACCGTTCCGCCCTTCATTCCCTACTCCCGCTCCGATGACCACCCGAACTCCGACACTGTCATCGCTGGCCGCGGCACCGTCGATGCGAAGGCGAGCGTCGCTGCTCAGATCACCGCGGTCATCGAGCTATTGAACTCGGAAAGCATCAGCGCCGACAACGTCGTCCTGGTCTACGTCGTCGGAGAGGAGCGATCCGGCGACGGCATGAAGTACTTTTCCAAGAGCCTGCTGCCCCTCGACCCGCCCCCCAACATTAAGGCGGCTGTCTTCGGCGAGCCGACCGAGGGTAAACTTGCTTGTGGGCACAAGGGCATTACTAGCTGTACTGTCAAGGCTCATGGCAAGGCAGGACACAGTGGATATCCCTGGCTCGGCAAGAGTGCGACTGAGACCCTCATGAGAGGACTGGTCAAGGTCCTGGATACGGATCTTGGAAGTAGTGATGAGTTTGGCAATACCACCGTCAATGTGGGGCTACTGGAGGGCGGTGTTGCGCCCAACGTCATCCCTGAGACGGCCGAGGCGACTATGGCCGTACGTGTAGCTATCGGACCTGAGGGAGAGGGCGGCAAGATTGTAGGGCAGCGGATACGGGACGTGCTGAAGGGCGTTGACGAGGAAGCGTTTGACGTTGACTGTGTAGGGGGCTATGGTGTGGTGAAATGCGAGTGTGAAGTTGATGGTATAGTCTATTGTGCATTCTCCCTTGAGAACCGCTCGTTATGCTAATACATGCATAGGTTTTGAGAATATCACAGTCAACTACGGCACTGATGTACCTAACCTCGACGGCAACCACACTCGCTACCTCTACGGACCGGGCACGATCCTCGTTGCGCACGGAGCTGACGAGGCCATTACAGTCTCGGACCTGGAGACCGGCGTGGAAGATTTCAAGAAGCTCATACTTCACGCGCTCAAGAAATGATAGGTCGGGTTTTCTTTTACCTCTGATCCGTGTCGAAGACAGGTAGGTAGCGAATCTAGGTACATGCCATTCAAATCATTGCCCAACAACCTTTGCCCACCGCTCAGGCATGATGCTCCGAAAATCGAAGCTACCGCTCCCGCCCTTGACGACCACACCACGTTCTGTGACAATAGCATCGATCAGTTCTGCAGGCGTAACATCGAAAGCCGGGTTCCAGACGCCAACTTCTTGGTGTGCCGTAGCCACCCTCGCGGTCTTGCCAATATCCACTTTCCCATCACTCCCCACAACCGCACCGCTGATCTGCGTAAGCTCCTCGGCCTTGCGTTCCTCGATCTTGATATTTGCGCCCGTGGTCGTCTGCAGATCGATGCTTGTCGTCGGCGCGGCGACGATGAACTTTATGCCGTGGTGTTTCGCCAGAACGGCCAGCGCATACGTACCAATCTTGTTCGCCGTGTCGCCGTTACGGACTACGCGGTCTGCGCCAACGACCACAGCTGCGATGTGCTCGCTTGCTTTCCTCGTGGCGAACAAGGCGCCCGCCATTGAGTCCGTGATGAGCGTCGATGGGATTTCCTCATATACTAGTTCGAAGGCCGTGAGTCTGCTCCCTTGGTTGTAAGGTCGTGTTTCCGTGCAGAAAGCATGGTGTAAGTGGCCGGCTGAATGCAACGAGCGGATGATCCCTAGTGCTGTGCCGTGTCCGGATGTCGCGAGTGAGCCTGTGTTGCAGTGTGTGAGGACCGAGACTTTGTCCTCGCTAGACTTCACGGGCGCATTTGCCAGTAACCATTTGCTCCCGTGTTCTCCGATTGAAAGGTTGGTTTCCGTGTCTTTGCGAAATATTTCCTCGGCGGCTGCAATGTAAGACTCTATGATGGCAATGTAAGACTCTAACATGGAGGACTTGTCCTGGGATGCAGAACGGATGACGCTTTTCAGGTGGGCAATCGCGTTTGTGAGGTCTACGGCTGTTGGACGCGACTGGAAGAGGTAGTCTAGCCGTGCGTCTATGTAGGATATCATTTCTTGCGGTGTTGTGGCGGCTTCGGGGAGGTTAGTTGCGAGAAACTTAAGGAATATCTGGAAGAGGTTGAAATTACTGCAGCTTCCGTTATACAGCTCGACGCCGTGAGCAAGGGCTGCTACTATTGCGATTGCCGGTGCGCCTATAAACGAAAGAAAGCAATCATGTTAGGAATGAGATCCGTCGTTGTCGCTCCATTAACATGATGTGATATTCACCTCTCACTCTCATAGACTTAATACAGTCAAATGCCTCCTCGCTCGTAGACACGACGTCGAAGTGGTGCTCGTGAGGCAGCCGTAGCTGGTCCAAGACCTCGAGTTTGCCACGCGTGTAGCGAATGGCTTGGAGTCCTGACATGTCTCGTGTTGGTGTGTCTGCGATCTGTTAATGTGACCGTTGCATGAGCTGGCTTCGTTCGAGCCGCGAGTCTTGCTTGAGAATGCGTAGGAGGAAACGAGGTTCGCGCAAGTAATGAATCGATGGGCTCGAACGCTGGTATCGACAAGCTTCACGATGCTCCTATATGTTTTGAGTATATCAGGCTCTTCCAGCTCTTCCGAGTAATCGTCAGTCGTCTAAGGCAAAATTTGTGGCGAGAGGCAATACCTTCGAGTCGTACAAATTCTCAGACTGCGCCGCACCTATCCGGCCCCGCCATCGGGCCATTGCGCCATTGCCGTCTGCACTGAATAACGGGTTCGACATACAGCGTTCACCAGACTCTTTGACGGGACATGTGAAATTGGCCATCTAGTCCTCTAGTTGCTATATTTTCTTAAAGCTTGCCGGTCCTCCCCCAACCCTTTCGTGGTCCACTGTTTACATGGCATACTCGAGGAGGAATTGACGGGTATTCTGCGTATGGGGTTTAAAGCGTTGCCGTCGCAATCTCCCCAACTATACCTAGAGTTGAGTAACTTGCACTTTATTTTCAGGTGATAATACGAATCTGGTGAAATACCGAGCGTAAATTTACTTTCGACACTTGAATTTGTCCTTGGGGCCAAGGATGTGGAATCGAAATAAAGGACTTCAAATTGATAAAGTATCTACAGTAAAAAAGCTAAATCGGGTATCTTTCAAACGCTTTTTATAATCTCGGTCCTAACATGATTGGCCGACGTGACTATGTCGTTATGTTCACTTCGTCCTTCTCCTCGTTCTCGTATATCTCCTCTACCTTCTCGCCAGGCCTGCTAAAAATTGGCGAAAATTGATCCACCTCCTCAATTTCCTCTTCATCTGCGGCCTCTTCGTCCTCTTCTTGTATGGTGATCTCCCCACTTCGTCGAGCCAATCCGCTCGCGCTGGCACTCCGACTGTGGTTACCCGATGACGAGCCGGCCCGACTGGCCGTCGCGGTATTCATCGAAAGCATTGGACCTTTGAATAAGCTCCGTTTGCGCTTGGCGAACAGCACCGATGGGCTGCCCGTCGAGAATGGATTCGGTGACCCGGGAGGGTTATGTGGTCCTGCGGCTGGCATTCCTTCATCAAAGTTGAGTGTCAAGGTAGGGCCGCGAACCAGCCGGATGTTTGATGGGAACGATGTGCTCGTGGGTGTCGCGGGTAGCACTTTGACGGAGTGATGCGGCGACCTGCTTCCTCCCAGTGGCGTCTTCGATGTTGAGACAGAGCCGTTCGAGCTCGTCGAGCTGGCTTTGGAGTGGGTGTGATGATGATGGGGCATCGTCCGAATCGACGATAAAGATGACGACGTGGACTTCCTTCCGCGAAGTCCGGTCGAAGGGCGCCGTAACGATGATCGTGGCGTCAGAGGAACAGGCGAGAGGGACTGGCGCTTGTAGCTGGCGGACGATAATCTCGGCGCCACATTTGGGTGAATCGAGAGCCCCATAGGTAATGGCTTCGTTGACGGGTTGCCCGCCATGCCGTCCTTCTCTTTAACATGCCCATTGGTGATGTTGGGCGAATTTCCATTGCTCCGCGTGTTTGAGCCGCCTGCCGGTCCTGGGTATTTACTGGTTTGTGGCCGTGGACTTGGCTCGCTCGAGCCTTTGCCACCCGACCCGCCGTCTTTGTGAAGATTGGGCGTAGAGAGGCTGCCGCGCTTGTTCGGCCTGTGCCTCCTTGTGTTCTCCACGATCCAGTGTGTCCAATTCTTCCACGTTGCCACGATGGCCTGTGATGGTTTGGAGCGAACTT